ATTCTTCTTTATAGCTGAGTAGTACTCTTTTGTATAAAAATACATCTTTTTATCTACTCCTTGGTTGATGGGTATTGGGATTGTTTCCAAGATTTAGCTACTACAAATTGTGCTTCTGTAAACATGGGTGCACATACATCACTGAGGTAAGATATTTATAATTCTTCTGGGTAAATACTCAGAAAGGAAATATCTGCGTCAAATGGGACCTTAATTCTAGATTCTGAGGAATCTCCACACTGATTTCCATAGTGGTTGCACCAGTCTACATTTCTGATAGCAGTAGAAAAGGGTTTCTTTATTCCCCACAGCCTCTCCAGAATGTGTTACTGGTTGATTTTTATTTGTATTTCTTTATCTGAGAAGTGTGTGTTCATCTCAGTGCCCATTTTTGGACTGGGTTTTTTTTTTAATTTGGGGGGACTGATGTTTTTCAACACTTTATATGTTCTAGATATAAATGCTTTGTCTGAGGTACAATTGGGTGAAATTTTTCATACTTTGTGGGTTGCCTTTTCACTCTATTGTGATGTCATTTGATGTGCAAAATCTTTCTAATAAGATGTGATCCCAGTTGTTGATTCTTTGTAGTATTTCCCACACAGTCTGGGTTTTGTCCATGAAGTCTCTGCATATACCCATGGCTTCAAGGTTTCTACCTACCAATAGGTTCAGTGTTTCTGTTCAAATATTCAGATCTTTGATCCATTTTGACTTTAGTTTAATGCATTGTAATAGACATGAGTCTAATTTTAGGCTTTGATATGTAGAGAACCAGTTTTCCAGCACAATTTATTAAAAAGATTATTTTTCTTCCAGTGAATGTTTGATCCCTTTGTCAAAGATAAGGTGGCTGAGTGTGTGTATAGTTGTGTCTTCATATTCGAATCTGTTCCATTGATACTCAGGTCTTTTTTTTTAGCCAGCGCCATGGTAGCTTTGTAGTATAACTTAAAGTCAGGGATTGTGATTCCTCCTGTCTTCCTTTTGTTGTCTAGAATTGTATTTTCTATTTTAAGTCTTTCCTGGTTCCAAATTAATTTTAGGATTTTTTTTTAGTTCTGTGAAGTATGGTAATGATATATGGAACAGAAATCTGCATAACATTTTTCAGGGTGTGGCCATTTTCACTATTTGGTTCTTCATATCCATGAGCAAGAGGTATCTTTCCATTTTCCAATATCGTCTTCAGTCTCCTTCTTCAAAGTACTGTAATTTTCTGTGTATAGATCTTTTACTTCCTTTGTTAGATAGGTTCCTAAGTATTTCATTTTTTATGCTGTTGTGAAAGGTGGTTTCCTTAATTTCATTCTCGCTGAGTTTGTTGTTTGTGTACAGGAATGCTATTGATTTTTGAATGCTAACTTGTATTCAGCTCTGATACTGAATTTGGTCATTAACTCTAGAAGTTTTTTGGTGGGGATTTGGGGTCTTATGTGTAGAGTATCATGTCATCAGTAAATAATGATAATTTAATTAATTTATTTCTTATCCTTATTGCTTTCATTTCTCTCTCTTGTATAATTGCTCTAGCTAATGTTTCCAGAACTATATTGAATATAAGTGGTAATAGTGATATCCTTGTCTTGTTCATGATTTTATAGTAAGAGCTTTCAGTTTTTTTTCATTTAGTATGATGCTGGCTGTTGGTCTGTCATAGTGGCCTTTATCAAATTGAGGTAAAGACCATCTGTTCTGATTTTCTGTAAGGTTTTAATCATGAATGAGTGCTAGACTTTATCAAAAGCTTCTTCTGCATCTATTGAGATGATCATGTGATTATCTTTATCTCTGTTTATAGGATATAGTACAATTCTTGATTTGCATATGTCGAACCATCCCTGCATTCCTGGAATGAATCTAACTTTGTCATGGTGTATAAGTTTCTTGATGATTTGCTATATTCTGTTTGCTAGTATTTTATTGAGGATTTTTGCATCAATGTTCATTAGGGAGACTGGCCTATAGTTCTCTTTTTTCATCTTTCTCTGATTTTGGTTATCAGGGTAATACCTGCCTCCAGGAATGAGTTAGGGAGTACTGTTTCACTTTCAATTTCATTAAAGAGTTTGAGGAGTGTAGGCATTAAATCTCCTCTAAATGTCTTGTAGAATTCAGTTATGAATCCATCAAGACTTGAGTTTTTCTCTGTTGGTAAGTTTTGAGCTACATTTTCAATCTCATTAACTGATATTGGGTTATTCATAATTCATATATCTTCTTGATTTGGCTTTGGTAATTCCTATGTATCTAGGAATCTCTCCCTTTCTTCTGTGTTTTCTATCTTAAGAAAGTAGAGATTGTCAAAGTATGCATGGATGATCTTCTGAATTTCCACAGGATGTGTAGTGATTTCATCCTTTTCAATCATCAGTGCATTAATTTGAGTCTTTTCTTTCTTTCTTTTTCTTTCCTTCTTTCTTTCTCTTTCTTTCTTTCTTTCTTTCTTTCTTTCTCTCTCTCTCTCTCTATCTCTTTCTCTGATAAGATTGGCTAAGGGGTTATTAATTTTATTCTTTGAAAGAATCAACTCTTCAATTCATCAGTTCTTTGTATCGTTTTCTTAATCTCCATTGTGTTGATTTCTGTACTGATCTTTATAACTTCTTCCCTTAAATGGGCTTTGAACTCCCTTGCTCTTCTTTTTCTAGAATCTTGAGGTACAACATTAGGTTGCTTATTTGGGCTTGTTCTGTTTTCCTGATCTGAGAATTCACATTACAAATTTCCCTCTGAGGACTGCTTTCATTGCATTCTATAAATTCCAGTATGAGGTATATGCATCCTCATTTAGTTGCAGATATTGTCTAGTTTCTTTCTTAATTTAATCTATGATCTATTGGTTGTTTAGGAGGATGTTATTTAATTTTCATGTGTTTATGGAGTTTTTGTGGTTTCTTTTGCCATTAATTTCTAATTCCATTGCACTATGGACAGATAATATGCATGGGACAATTTCAACTCCTTTTCATTTACTTAAGCATGTTCTGTGGGCTAGCATATGATTTACTTTAGGGAACATCCCATGTGCAGCTAGGAATGTGTATTCTGATGATGTCAGGTGAAACACTCTGAAAACACCTACTAAGTCCATTTGCTCACAGGTTTGGTTCTGTTCTGATATTTCTTCGCTGATTTTTTGCCTAGTTGATCTATCTCTTTATGATAGTGGGGTATTAAGGTCTCCCATTATGATTGTGTTATTGATTTTTCAAGTCTATTAACAATTGTCTTTTATATTTGGATGCTCCCATAGTTGATACATACATATTTATGGTCATTTTCTCTTCCTCTTGAAGCTTTTCCCTAACAAACATGTAGTGAACTTCTTTATCTCTTTTTATCATTCTTGGTTTGAAGTTGACATTGTCTGCAAACAGAATATTTACCCTTGCTTTTTTCTGAGTTCTTGTTACATGCAAGATTGTTTTGCAGCCTTTGATTTTCAGTCTATTTTCTTTTCTAGTTAAACGCATTTCTTGTATACAACATATTGTTGAATTTTGTTTCTTGATCCATTTTGCCACTCTGTTTCTTTTGATTGATGAAACAAGGTCATTTACAATGAAGATTATAATTGATGCATATTGCTTTATCTTCCTCATTATATTTTCATGCTGTTGGCTCCTTGCTTTCCCCCTTCATTTAACTGCCTGCCTTGTTCAGTGATTTCTATCTGTTGTTGTTCTTTAAATTATGGTCATTGTCATCTCAGTCTAGAACACCCTTCAGCATCTTTGTATGGTTGGTTTGGTGGTCATGAATTTCTTCAGTTTTTCTTTGTCCTGGAAGTATCTTATTTATAGAGTAACCTTGAAAGATATTTTTGCAAGATACATCAATCTGAGTTGGAAGTTTTTTTTTTTCTTTCAGGACTTGAAATATTTCAAACTCTTCTTGAGGGTTTGTGTTGAAAAGTCTGCTGTGATTCTGTTGGGCTTTCTTTTATAGGTGATCATTTCTTTCTCTCCAACAGCTTTTAATATTCTGTTCTTGTGCTGAATTTTTGAAATCTTGATTATCATATATCTTAGTATAATTTTATTTTGGTCATGGGTGTTTGGAGTTCTATAGGCTTTATTTATTTGTATGCTAAGTTCTTTATCCACACTTGGAACATTTTCTGCCATTATTTCTGTGCAGAGTTTTTTTGTTGTTGTTGTTTTGTTTTTTGTTTTTTAATGGCACTTGAGTTGTCCCAAGTGAAAGAGTTGCTGGCCCAGACCAGACACTTTAACCAGGAAAAGCCTCAGCCAAGTTAGGGGGCTCCTGCCTCCCCCGCCCCTATAGATTTACCTGCAAACCTATAACTCCATCCCTAAGAACCTGTCCCTGGCGCCAAACGTGTATCAATGAAATACCTGTGCATCCCTAATGCCCCTTGGGGTCCACCCCAGACAGAGGCTACTTATGGGCCTCACTCCACGTGTTCGACAGAAAAAAGGGAGAGTGTGTTCCAGAGAGAGACCACCAGCCCGGGGTGGAGATGCTGCGCCCCGGGGCGGGGCGGGGGGGGGGGGGAGTGTGTGTCTCTCCCCGCATTCCTGAAATAAAGGTTACTTATATTTTATATTTCTTATCTTTACAGCCACCGCCGCCCACTCCCACGGCCAACCCACTCCTTCCACGTACCTCTTTCCCTTCCACTCCTTCCTCTTCCCTCCCCGCTCTTCTCAGACCTAACACCAAGCTTTCTCATTGACCTCAATGAATCTTGTGTTATTCATCTTTGCTCCATCTTGTAGCTGTTGTGTTGGGAGCTGTTGAAGCTGGAAATTGAATGCATGTGCAGGGCTATGTATGGCTGGAGCACAGCCAATCTGGAAACAAAGAGAAGGCTCAAAGAACAAGATGAGGACACCTGGCTCCAACCCCAATTAACAAAATAGAGATTGTAGCTGCAGGCATCTCACTCCTGTAGTGAAAGTCAACCTGGAGACCTTCTCCTGTTAGGGCCGACGTTGCAGGGAAAGAGACCCCAAGGACTCAACTCTTGGTGAGGGAAAAAAGTTTATTTCCATGCGCATGGGGTCCCCCAGGCAAACAAGTGCGGAGGGCCCCGAGGGGGAATTGTGCAGGGTTTTTAAGGGCGCAAACGGGAGGCAAGCGAGTTTACAGAAGCAGATTGCATTGGTTAATTTTGAGCAGCATAGGATTTGGCAGAAATTGATTGGAGGGGTTTGGGGTTGAGTAACCATGGAGACTGGGGGTCCTAGCCCAGTCACTATGTGCCCAGAACAGAACAGTTACTTGTCTTACTTATCTCGTTGAGACAGAACAACCTTGCAGGTGCATTCTTTCTCTTTTTTTTTTTTTCTCTGCTCTGATAGCTCTGGGGAGTTAGGCATTTCTTTTTGCTCTGCTCTGATAGCTCTGGGGAGTTAGGGAGTTAACCCTTTCATTCCCCGCTCTGGGGAGTTAGGGAGTTAACCCTTTCATTCCCCGCTTTTTTTTTTCGATGACTTTTAATCTTAAAGGTCCTGTATGGGTAAGGGATCATATTTTTGACGTAGCACCATAACTTTTACTTGAGAGATCTGAGCCCTCACAAACTGGGTTACTCGGTTAATGAGGCAAGGGGCTATAGTTATGACTATAATGAATCCGGCCAGGGGTCCCAATAAAGGGAGAATATAGGGCAGGATTGATTCCCGGAAAGAGAACATTTTGGTTTTACTTGAAGGGGGCTCTTGAGATCTGATTTTTTTCTCTCAACTTTTTTATTGTATCTTTTACAATCCCAGTATGATCAGTGTAAAAACAACATTTTTTTTTTTAAGTGCGGCGCAGAGACCCCCTTCTTTTAAAAACAAAAGATCTTTAACAATTGGTTTTTTTTTTTTGCTTACAGGGGGACCAAAGCCGCCGTGTAAAGTCGGCATCAATGTTATTAAAATCAAAACAAGCAAGCTAAAACAGTTTATAACCAGCATAATCTATGTTTTAGTCAATTTTTAACTTTAAGGGTTATCAGTCTGTTGTGTAGTCCACTGAGTATGTCTCTCGTTGTCCGCTGTTTCCAGTGGCTTTACATGAGTGTAGTGAATCCGCGCAGTTTTTTCTGTTACCTTGATGGCAGTGGGGGTACTGAGCATCACGGTGAAAGGTCCTTCCCAGCAGGATTTGAGGGAGTCATGGTGGTGACATCGAACCAAGACTGGAGTCCTTGAGGCCTTGGTCTTTGAAGGCAGGTCCAAGTGTTTTTGTCTAAACAGCTGGTGGATCCAGGCCAACACAGGTTGGAGTGTCTGTAGGGACTTAAGATCTCGATTAGTAATTTTAGCTAATTTGTCTTCTGACAATCTTGGAACCAATGGCGGGGGCCTCCCAAACATGGCTTTAAAGGGGGAAATTTTAGAAACATATGGGGTATATCTAGCTCTTAACAGTGCAAAGGGAAGAAGGCTCATTCAATTATCGCCAGTTTTTGAAAACAGCTTAGCTAAAATGTCCTTGAGACTTTGGTTTATATGTTTTACTTGCCCTGAGCTTTGTGGCTGATAGGCACAGTGGAGTTTTAATTAATCTTTAATGTCTGGGCTAACTTTTGGGTGACTCGGGCTATGAAAGCCAGGCCATTATCAGACCCCATTGATAGTGGGAGGCCAAATTAAGGTATGATCTCATGCGATAGCCTTTTAACTACCTCTAAGGCTGACTCAGACTTAGTAGGGAAAGCCTCTACCCAGCCAGTAAAAATGTTTATTAATATCAAGAGATAGCAGTGTCCCTGTAAATTAAGTTTTACCATGTCCATGAAGTCTATTTTTTAATGTTCTCCTGGAACAATTTTTTGATGTCGGGTGGTCTCCAACGCAGAGCTCTTGGCTGAGTTGACTAACAAGCACTGTGGGCATCTGGAGCTCGAAGAGGTGGTCAGTTTGTAGAGTTTTGGAATAAAATACTGAGTTCTGGACAAATCCACAAGTTTAGTTTTTTTTTTAAACGAGTAGTCTGGCGAGCCCGGTATAACAGCTCCTGCCCTAGTGTCTCCAGTAACCGTACTTGTATATCAGGTAACTGGTATTAGCCCCTTGGGGTGGGAGACTTTATTTCAAGTTGAGATGCCAACTGTAGGTCTTTTTTTATGTAGACTGGTTCTGACAAGGTCAGAGGACTAGTATCAGAGCAGTTATTTTCTTGGTTGACCCCTCTGATGTGGTTGTTATTTTTTAAGTGGCTTGATCTGTCAAACTGTTTCCTAAGGTGACAGTGTCATCTCTTGTCTGGTGAGCCTTGTAATGAATAGCAACCCATTGAGGCAGTCAGACAGCTGTCAGCAAGTCTAGAATCTGTGGAGCATTTTTAATCTTAGTCCCAACTGAGGTTAAGAAACCTCACTCTTGATAGACGGCTCCACGTATATGTACAGTAGTAAAGGCATATTTATAGTAAGAAAAATGTTTTACCCTCTTTTTCGTGGCTAGTTTTAGCCTCTTAGTCAAAGCAACAAGCTTTGCCTTTTGGGCAGAAGTGCCAGGCTCTACCCGCTTAACCCAGAGTACCTCCTTTTTGGTGGTCACTGTTGCCCCGGCCACTTGTTTGTCGTTTTGGATGAAGCTGTTTTCATCGAACAGTTGTCGGCATTTCCCAAAAGCTGGTCAGTAAGATCAGCCTGTAGGTTCTGCTGTAGTTCGAGGATGTCAGCGCACTCATGGAGAGAGGTGTCCTTTGTTCCTCCGGGTCATCATCAGGTATAAGGGTGGCTGGGTTTAAAGCTGAAGAAGTCTTGAATATCATTGACTCTGGGTCTAGAAGCAGGGCTTGACAGTAGAATTCTGGCATTTGAGAGCCTTTTTTAGGAGGGGTTTTGATAAGAGTCTCTAAACTGTGAGAGGTTACCACAGAAATCACTTGCCTAAAGCGAGTTTCTTCGCTTCCTTAAGTAACATTGTCACAGTAGCTAGTATTTTTAGGCAGGGGGGCCATACTCCTGTTACTGAATCAAGTCTTTTGGAGAGGTAGGCTATAGGCCTCTTTTAAGGGCCAACGTCCTGAGTGAGGACTCTTTTGGCAATGTCCCTGAGTTTATCTATGAACAAGATGAAAGGCTTGGTAACGTCAGGGAGTCCCAGGGCTGGGGCCTCTGTCAAGGCCCGCTTGAGCTGCTGGAAGGCCTGTTCACATTTATCAGTCCAGTTCAGTGAATTTTGAGTTTCTCCCTTATGGGAGTCATATAGAGGCAAGCTTTTCAGTAAAATTTAGCCTACAGTATCCAACTGCCTCCAGAAAGTCTCGTCTGTTTTTTAAAAGTTTTTTCTCATACAGCAATTTTAACATCTAGGCTATCTTTTTGTAAATTTTTTAGTTTTCAAAGACCTTTTTGTGCTATCTCTATTAACTGGCTGAGGGGCATTTTCTTAAACCTCTCAAACCTTTGTAATTTTTGTGTAACATGTGGGGCCGACTGAGTTACAAAGAGAACAACTGGCGATACTGGGAAACCTCCTTACCTCTGGATGTCCAGTCAGGGTGGCACAAAAGGAGAACATGGTTTTGGCATTCCGGATCAGAGAGCCGGCTTCATCTGGATGGCACACTGTTTCTTGTCCAAGGGTGTCACGTGACAGGCCATCATTTTACTAAAATTATATTCTTAACAAAAAGGGCTTTTTCACAGGTAACAAAATTGTGCTGTATAATCTCCCAGATGTTTACAGCACATGTAAGAATTTGTATCTTATTTCTAGTATCACCTATAATCTCATTTTAATGAAAACATTTTGCAGCAAAGTACAATCTTATGTATACTTTTACCAAAACTGATCTAATACTGTCAAATTCTGAACACATTTACTTTTTGTCAAACCTGTTATTTGTAGTACTATAAACCAAGACAAATAAAATTCACATCCTCTTGAGCCTTCTACAACTTACAATAATACCTCTCAAACTAAGCTTTGATCTTTTTCCACATTCTGGCATAGCCAGACACCTTTACTTGAAGACCACTCTCTTTGTCCCTCTTTTTACTATTACCAGTCAATTACCTTTTTTCTCACTTCTCAGACAACATCAAAACTCTCAACAAAACCCTTGAAGTCACCTTTTAGTAGTCCAAAACATACTTATTTTATGTCTTTTTACCACATAAAAATGCTGTATTTTAAAAACAAAACTGTAACCTTTTAACTGGCTCAAATATAGTACCGCCTGGTTTTTACTTGGCAAAGTTGACATGACTCTTAACAACCATAGATATATATATATATGTGCACATGTTTATATTTTTACCAGAGAGAAAAAAATACTCCTTTTAAAAGGCATGCTGAGGTTGCAAGCAATCAATTGAAGTCTTACATATTAAACAAGGCGCCACAACATTAAAGACACAAACAAAGGGAGCTTCTTGCATAGTTTGGTCAGCTAAAGGAAATAATTTTTCTTATCATGAACCTTTAATCTAATAAGCCATATGGATCCTACAACAGAAATGGGCAACAAGCCCCTAAGTTAGTAACAAGTTTAAACAGGCAATCAAGGAGAGGGCGGAGGAAGGAAGGGTTTTACCCACGGTGGGGGCTCCTCCCTGAGGTCCTGTCATACCAAGATGTAGGCGATCCGGTCGGGGTGGCCCTCTCGTCCAGGGCAGAAGATGATGTTCTTAACTGCTAAGATGAGGGGAAGGTGGAAAGTCCCCTCCGGTGGCCAACCCACGGAGAATGTGGGCCACTCAGACGAGCAGAAAGTCTGCCATTTACTTTTTTTAACCTGTAAGGAGAGATTGTGAGCCCTCTCTCGAACCTCCGACCAATGGTTGAGGCTGAGGGACAATGGGGACGATGTCGTCTGGCCCATGATGTTCTGAAGACAAAGAGTGGTTAGCGTACACGCGGCACAACAAATAACCGTTCACAACAGTCATAACACACAGGACAAACAGGCCGGCCACCTCACTCTCATGCATTAGTTTCACACCAAACGAGTCACCTTAGGGGGTGCCTCCAGATTGGCCCGGATGGACCACAGATTGGGAATGAAATTCCCCAGATTGGCCCAGACGGACCACAGATTGGGAATGAAATTCCCCAGATTGGCCCAGACGGACCACAGATTGGGAATGAAATTCCCCAGACCGATAGGAAAATCCTATCGCAGACGGTGAGTCACGGAAAACCGTGTGGGGCGTCCCCCGGTCACCAGAGAACAGAGAACAGATAACAAAAACAGGTAACAAAAATTGCCCGGTTGGCTCGGGGCGTAAAATACCGGTAGATTGATCCTCAGAGTAAAAATAAGAAGCGACCGGTCGTACTCACCCACCGCAGAGCCGTTGAGGTCACCTCCCGTGAGACGTGCTATCTCGCTAGGGCCTCCAAGATGTTAGGGCCGACGCCGCAGGGAAAGAGACCCCAAGGACTCAACTCTTGGTGAGGGAAAAAAGTTTATTTCCATGCGCATGGGGTCCCCCAGGCAAACAAGTGCGGAGGGCCCCGAGGGGGAATTGTGCAGGGTTTTTAAGGGCGCAAACGGGAGGCAAGCGAGTTTACAGAAGCAGATTGCATTGGTTAATTTTGAGCAGCATAGGATTTGGCAGAAATTGATTGGAGGGGTTTGGGGTTGAGTAACCATGGAGACTGGGGGTCCTAGCCCAGTCACTATGTGCCCAGAACAGAACAGTTACTTGTCTTACTTATCTCGTTGAGACAGAACAACCTTGCAGGTGCATTCTTTCTCTTTTTTTTTTCTCTGCTCTGATAGCTCTGGGGAGTTAGGCATTTCTTTTTGCTCTGCTCTGATAGCTCTGGGGAGTTAGGGAGTTAACCCTTTCATTCCCCGCTCTGGGGAGTTAGGGAGTTAACCCTTTCATTCCCCGCTCTGGGGAGTTAGGGAGTTAACCCTTTCACTCCTAAATTAACAAGACATGTCACCTAAATTAACATAGGCTGTTACCTGGAAAAGTCGTGAACCACTCCCAAGGTGTCCTGCTTTCCACACTAACCCCTCCCCCTTGTTGAAATTTAAATAAATACGGGCTGCCCAGAGACATTCCTTATCTCAGGCCCTAGAGTCTGGAACTCCGTTAGAGGATTTGATCCTCCTGAAGCCCTAAAATCATACCACCTGTCTCAACTTATTTAAGCCTTCACCGTACACTCATTTGGAAGACTGGGGATCTTGGCCAGGTTTCCAACACTGTTGGATTGATTTTTCATGGTCTCTTGCTATTTCTAAAATATCTTTCTTTTCATGATCACTAGCTGCAATTCTGCCTTCCTTCTCCTTTGGTCAATATCTTGCGTATATTTTCAGTGGAGGATTTAATTTCTTGGATTTTCATTTGGATCTGTTTCATGGATTCCATTTCTTTGCTATGTTGGGCACTTTTTGTTTCCATCATATCTCTAAGCTCATCTGTTCTTTTATCTGTGTCTTTTCTAATATATTTGATTTTAAGCATCATTTATTTTTTACTTGAGAGATTATTTTCTCTATAGCATTCTCCACTTGTTTTTTCACCTCTTGCTATCATTTCAGATATTTCCAGTGTGTAACTTCCAATTTTGTCTGTCTCATTAAGATCCAGGCTCGTCCTAGGAGGGATGGAGGTCTGGGTTGCATTTTGCTTCTGTGTCTTATTGTTCTCTATTTTCTCCTTTTTATTTTATTTTGTTTTCCATGTTGATGATTGCCAATTTCTTATGATAAACAGCTTTATCACTAACATTGAGGCTTTCCTAGAAGATGTCTGATCTTTAGAGATATCCTCTGGATGTAGGTGGTTCTTAATAGCTCTCCTTGAAATCTAACTTCCCAATTTTTAAAGGATACAAAGTTATTATTTGGCTGAGCACCCAATCCTTTGCCACTGGGCTGTGCTGATGATTACGACCCTATACAATCACAGTGTTGTCATACAGGGAAGAAAAATCGATTATAGCATGGATGACATCCTGACCAAAGTAGTACAGTTAGTAATAACAATGGTTTCAAGTGCAGCTTAACTACTAATAAACTATGCTAACATTAACCTGCAACTTCTGACACCAGGAAGAAACTCTAAAGTTATATAACAAAATCAAACACATACCATGTACTCATATGCAGTGATTTTCCCCTTAGTGGAGTGATTTTACCCTTTTGTGGGGAGTGAGGCGTTAAGATGGGTAGGGGACAGGATAAAATGATGAATGTGGTCAAATATAGTAAAGTCAAGGCTGGAGGTCAAAGAATGGTCACTCAAGTTTTGAGACACTTAGAGAACACAGGAGGGAAAGGATGAAATGTAATGCAAAGGAATAATCAGAAAGGGAAGACAGAAGGCTCAGTCACTTGAAAGTTAAAATTCAAGAAGTGGTTGAGGAAAGAGAAAAAGTGTCAGTAGAAGAAAACGAAAATGAAAGGTAAGAAACCTAAACAGTGAAGAAGAAAAAAAAAAAAAGAAGAAAGAAAGGAGTCTAAAGAAAGAGAAAAGGAAGGGGGAAAAAAAGCCCCAAAACAAAAATAACCACAAAATACAAAACAAAACAAAATCACATCCAACCAGACAGGAAATGGATAGACAACCAGACAAGGGAGAATAGAAGTAATAGAAATCCTCTGGTGTTTACCATTCTGTGGCTGTGTCCATGTTAGAAATGTGCATGGTGTGGAGCTGATCGTGGCCTCTGGATGTGAGGGCCAGGACTGGCCCTCTGTCGGTGGGCTTCTCCAGAGCCCAGCAGCTGGCTCCCTACTGCTGCTTCAGAGGCTTCTGCAAGCCTGGACTCACTGATGACTCTGTCCTCAAAGGTGTGTGTGCGTCTGCCACCTGGAGCTTGTCCTGGGTCTAGGGGCCTTCTAGTCAGTCTAGTCACTGCAGACATGTAAGATGACAGAATTAGGAACAGAAAAGAAATAATAATTTCATAAAAATCTTGTAATATGCTTCTATGCCTCAGTCTTCCCAATCTTCAGAGGAGTTCTTGCCCTTAATCTTTCACTCCTTTTTCTCCACGACTTAGGGACATGCAACCTTTGAACTCTAAGCTACGGGAATGTTTTTCAGTGCTTAATATCAGCCTGAATAAGGCGGAGGCTGTATACACCATTTGTCTGCATTTGTGGCAAGCAAACAAATGTCCAAATGGCATTTAAAAGTCGCTATATGATTTCTAAGTCAGCAGCTTCAGCGTTACCCTGGGCAGAATCAAATTTCTGCACAATCTTTCAAGGAAACTGCTGACTTACCTCATACTCTGCAGCTGGCCACCTGCACTGCTCAGAGCACACCTCAAAAACACCCCGGTGGGGAGAGGCTGGGGATGGGAAGCTCCTTTCACAAAGCCCTGCAGTTCAGCCTCATCCTCCCTATCTCAAGGTGTATGCCAGCCTCCAGGAACCACCCATCCTGCAGCACCAGGCTGTGGGAGGACTCTGGAAAGCTCCTTCAAAGCCCTTCCCTGGCATGAGTGGGACTTCTCTTCCAAACAAAGGCTGCTCCAGTTCCTCTCCCCGCAGTGTCCCCATGAGGTGCACTGGGCTGGAAATGATGGTGGACAGGAAACATACCGGAAATGGAAAACAAAAATGATTTGTACAAATCCTCATCGGGGACACCTGCATTTATAATGTTAAGCTGGGGCAGGGTGCGGTTTACAAATAAGTCAGTCAATGGGTAAGTGTGAATCAGATCTTTGTTCTTTGACAAATCCTGCCTGGAAGGCTGAGTTCAGGCTCTTCATTGACCTGCATCGTCAGTTTTATAGCAATGGCTTTAGAATCTATCCAAGACCCATTGTCCTCCAACCAGGCCAGAAGGCATAAGAATGGTGACCACACAGCTGGTGCCCCCTAGTCAGCCTTATGAAATGGGTAACTTGTGCAAAGTTCCTACAGTCCCCTCAAACTGGAAAGGAGGAAAGAAAATGGTCTATGGCGGGACCTGGGAGCAGAGAAAGGGAGCCAGACAATAAAAATTCTCCTGGCTCTGTTCTGTGCCACCCACATCGGTCGGCTGCATATACTCTCTGAATGCCAAACCTGCTTTTCCCAGTCAATCCATAGCCAAAATGTAGCTTGCGAAGGCTGCCGAGAAAATTCTACAGTCCAGACAGGCAAATGTGTCTGATCGGAGACAGACATGACCGTGCGGTTATGAGTGGAGGGTAATTATTCCACGCATGTAACATTCCTTTTGAAAGGCAAAACCACATGCCATTTCCATTCATTTGTCCTTCAGGTAAACTTGGAGGCTAAACCAGGTTTGCTCCATTCGCTAGAAGATAAAGGAATCCCTGATTTGGACTGTGGGCAATATGCACACACAGGGCTGGATTCCAGTCCTGGCCTCTTTCCCCTAGAGTCTCTTCACCAGACCATATTCCCACGAGGTATCATTCTCTGGCCAGCCAATGAGCATTCTAGCTACATGATTGGAAGTCAGTGTCCTTGGAAACTTTGTGTGGTCACTCACTTTGGTTCTTCCCCACACAGCCGGGGGACCGGCTGTTCCTTGACCTCCTAACACTGTGTCTGTCTATTTCAATTTCACAAAAATTCAATGACACCTCAGTGCTATAGAGATCCTGCAGGCCCCTGAAGCCCTGTCAGAAAGCACAGTGTCTGTATGTTTTCCCTGCAGATCTAGGATACAGTTCGTGGGGAGTTATTTTTACATTATTTTCATGATTATATCACTATGTGTAGTAGATTCAGGGTTTTTTTTATTTGCCCATTCTGGCCAGGAGGCTATTACACATCTTAGGCCAGGAGCATTCAGTTTTAATCACCACAAGAACAGAATGAACATGGCTGCCTGAATAGATTGCTGTCCCTCGCTGATGGAAGTAAACATTTAGCTCAGCCAGCGGGCCCGTCCGATCTTTCTCTTGTTGCACAGTTTGTCATTCTGATGCTACTGCTGTTATTAACATGGCAGCTGTCACAGCAGTGAGGATGGAAAGACCCATTAGCTCATCTGATTCTATCTCTCTGCCAGGCAGGATATAGGCCCTAAAAATGCTTCCTGGACGAAGGACTGTTTGGGGATTTACTTATCCTAGGTTACAGCAGACATGGCTTCAAAAAAACAGGAAATAAGGTCTTCTCTTAGCTAATTACCAAAGGAGTTACAACAATGTAGTAGAGGCCTTGTAGAAGCAAAGCTTAAACTTCCTTACAAGGCTGTGGGGAACTTCACTGGCTACCAGGAAGCGGAAGTGTGTAGCTATGACACACCCAGCAGAACCCTAGGAAAATTATACTCCGTGGAGCTGTTAAAAGTAAAGGAAGTTATATCAGCTGCTGAAGTTCTTAAATTTGTCCACCGAACACCTCATGGTCAAATTAACTATTGTGTTTGCCTCTGATCATGGCTAGGGCTTTCAGATGTGCGCAATAAAATAATTAATTAAGACTGATTGAAAAGGAGCCCAAGTTTATCAGGGAAGGGGAGAGGAGAATGTGTGCGAGGGTGTCTAGCAGGGACCCTCACTGAATGCAGTCTCAGCATAGATTTCGGGAAACGTTTTCCTACTGATCACTGCATTGTTAAAAATACAAAGCGCTAACACTTAGCAGCCACCAGTTATGTCCTGATCCAAATGCTTGCTATGCATAGCATTTAAAAAGGTGGTGGTGTTTTCATTTTGCTGAAAGGAAAAAAAAAAGCTAACAGGGTTAACAAATTTGCCCAAAGAGACATACATGCAAATGAAAAACTGCATTCAGACTCCAGTTAATCTGACTCCGAAGCCCATGTTCCTGAGCACAGTGCTACAGAGCCTTTCTGCTCTGGTTTATGTTTGGAGAGCCAGCACTTCTGGAGAAGAGAAGTGAGAGGCAATATTATTGCCGTGATTTGAGTAATTTTAATCGTGCCCGTACCTCTGGGAGGCTGCTGTCTGCCTTTTCCACCCACCAGGGCCTCCAGTGACCTTCGCTTTTACGCCCCTCCACCTCCCGCCTTCTCCATTCTCTTTCCCTTCAAAACTGTAAGTGAAAGTTGAGCTCAGAAGCACACTTGCATCCTGGCCAGTGGCCTTGGATCACCCCACTTTCTTTCCATTTCCATCTCAGGCTCAAGAGAGGAAGTATTCTCTCGGATACTACCTTCCTCTAACCAGAGTCTGGTACACACTAGTATTTGTGTACCGTTCCTCAGCATCTTTATTTTTGTGTTCCAACCTGATGTGTGGAATAAACATAAGCATCAGGCCAGGCAAGATTCGTAGCTTTCTTTACAAATGACAAAACTGAAACTGAGAAATCAGGTACACCTGGGAGTTGGGTCAGAGATGCTTTCAAATCCCACATGTTTTTCCCAAAGTGACAGAAGTCCCTGCTGATGCCAGAGGCTGCCTATCTTGCTAGGCTGAAGAGCAGTCTGTTGCACCTGGCATTTCAAGCTCCGCCAGTGTGGCCAGATGGCATTTAGCAAGGTTGAGGTTTCCCAATGAACTGAGGTTTCTGTGAGAGCTTATTTTTGTTGGCTGTAGAGTTGTTCTCCTCTTGTTACAGAAACCACATTATTTTGGTTTCCTCCCTTTGTTTCTGTCTTGCTTTAAACTTTGTCTTGATGTAAAGGGAAATATAAGATCAGTGTAAAGTTTATCAACAAGTCTAAACAGCAATGTGTGTCTATAAACCCAGGGTATGCGAAACAGTCAAAACACCTGGATTCCAGTTCTATGGATTCTATAAAGCTCTGAGAATGTCAGCCAAACTCTCCAAGCCCCAGCTTCCAGAAAGGAAATAGCAATGGTAAGCTAGAGAACCTTCCAGAGCCCAACAAACTTAGAGCCTTTAGCATCTTTGGCTATGGTGACCCTAATCTCAGCAAGGAAGTGTATTTGCTGCTCTAAAAGGTGCCAGTTTATAAGCTCAGGATGATTCTTTTCTGGAATGATCAGCCCAGAAGTGTGCACAAGATGACGCCCATGGGCTGCTGCAGGTGAGCGGTCTGGTGGGGAAGGAGTCACAACGCTAAGAACCTCTCTGAGGAGCGTTCTGAGCTCCAATTCAGTGGTCTCCATCTCTCCATGGTTGGGCTTCAGGCTCTGGGTACATTTTTTCTCCTATGAAAGTTATTTCAAGATAGCCTTGTAGGATTAACACATCCAAACAGTATGCGATAAGCTCTTCTGCATTGCAGATATTTGCTAAGAACTGCACATAAAAAGATCAAATAAAATTTTATTTTTAAAGAGCTTGCAGTTTATCAGAATAACAAATAAAAAGATGATGTAGATTTTTAGTGGAGGCTTACAAAGAGAGAAAAAGGCCAAGAATCCTTTCATCTCTGAAGTGTATATAATTGCTCTCACTATTTAAACATCAGAGTACCCAGGGGCATTCTTTCCAGATTAGATTCTCCTGCCTCGCCTTCTCCGGACTTGTAAACCCTGTCTGTGTCTGAAATCATACTGTCAGCCCCTACATAGCTTGGTAGATTACATTTCTTTGCATCCTCTTGAACCTTTGGATGTGTGGTGAATCCTAGTTCCTTGGTGACATACAAAGCTCTTTGAGGGCAAGAGTTATACCTATTTATTTGTTTGCTCAATAACACTAAACCCAGTGGTGAACATATAAACAGCTATTTGCAAATGTTCCAATTTTTTCTCAGTCTGGGCACGTGGTAGCATTCCTCTCCTCTTCCTGAAATTGGGAGTGGCTGTAGATCTTGCTTTTACTGAAGAAGTTCAAGCAAGATGACTTCTGGGTGAAGCTTGAGGAAACACTGAAAAGTCTCTGGCACCTGTCAAGTGATAGCTCTTACCATCCTAGGGCCCAGAGTGCCTGCCAGCCCACCGGGAGCATATAGCCTGAGAAGTATTGCTTCAAGATGTAAAGTTTGGCATTTGTCACCAACATTAACCTTACCAGGTCTAACTGGTACAGAAGCACTCAACAAATACTGTCTTTGCTAACCTTTTATCAGTGGCTCCAAGGCAACATGAAGGTAAGGAAGCAAACAAAATATGTTGGCAATAGCCTAGGGAAAGACTTCTTGCATTGGAAGAAAAATGTTCTAATTTTTCCAATGCAGTAGACTCCTTTATCCATGAAAGATACAGTCTGAGACCACCATGAGATTGCCTCGAATCACAGGGCCCTAAATAGACTATGTTTTTCCCTGTACATACATAGTTAGGATAAGGTATACTTTATAAATGGGGCACAGTAAGAAATTAACAACAGTAACTAATAAGATAGAAGAATTATAGCGCATACTGTAACAAAACTTACTTAGAATCTTTGGATATTTTATTCCCGAAATTTCTAATTAGTATTTCCAGATTGTGTTTGACAGTAATTGACACTATGAAAAGTGAAAGTGCAGATAAGGTGTTGTATTTCTAAAAAAGCACCCCTCAGTGCCGCTGATGTTCCACCCACTACCATTTTCTTGGTCTTTTTTTTTTTGTTTTTATCGGTACCAGGGATCGAACTCATGACTGCCTGCTTGCAAGGCAGGCGCTTATGCCGCTGAGCTAAATCCCCAGCCCCCCACTGCCATTTTCTTCCCCTTGAGGTCACTTTACCTTATCCAGGAATGTCTCCATTTTGCCCGCCGCCGTTAATGATCAGAAAAAGAAATGTACCAAGGAGTCTTAGAAAAGGTCGGAGAGCTCTGTAGAGAAAAAACATGTGAGCAAAGCCTGGAATGGAAAAACTCAACCACAGGAGAACCTTGCAAAGGATTCAGTCCAAAACCATTGGAAAACCTGGGGATGGGCTTGGGCCAAGGCTTGCCTGGCTCATGCAAGAGCCTGTGTCCCCTCCCAGCTCTACAGGAAAAGAAAAACCTGGAAATTGCAATAGATTCTTAAGTCTTGTGAATCTACCTCCTGCATCACCAAACCTGAGTCTACCCTCAAGTTACTCAACCTCTCCAATCACCCAGTTTCTTCTTCAGTAAAACAAAGGTGAGAGTGGAACTCAGCTCTTGGAGTTATTGAGAGCTAAAGGCAATGCTCCTTGATAACAAAGAACATTTGCCTACTGTGTGCTTTAAAGACTCTAACACAGATCTGGAGAATCATTTTCTAACACATTAAACATAGTAGCTGCAACATCGTAAATGTTCAAAAATGAGCACTCTTACTGCATACACAGGAGGCAGAAGCACTCACTAAAAGGCCATGAAATGTAAAAGAACGTTCTGTCTGGGTTTGGAGTCCAGGAAACTCTGAAATCCTTGCCTACTGCACTGTGATGTGCCCTTGGTCTCACAAGGTCAAGGCGATGCTTTTTCTAGATATAGAAACTTACCAACCCTTAGCAGCTGGAAGGACTCTCTGGAAAGTGCTCAGGAGCCCATGGGGAAAGAGACAGCGAATGAAGAGAAGCCTTCACTCTTCCAGGGCTCATGTCCAGGACTTTCCAGAAGCTGGAGACTTAGCTCGGCCTTTGCTCTGTTCCTGAGACTCTGAGACTTTGGCCAGAGCCTCGAAACACGGTAGTCACCTGTCGGTCTTCACCCGGGGCACTGTTCTCTTGTTCCAGCTGGATGTGGCCCCAGAAGCAGCATTAAAGGGATGCTCTCGGGCTCCCCCACTTCCCTCTCTGTGCCTTCCTCTTTTCCAAATCATCCTTCCTGGGGCCACACAGCCAACGCTGTCTGAGATCTGCAACCAAGGAAACTCTTCTTAGCAGAACAGCAAAGAAAAGACCTGAAGAAAGACAGATTTCTAAATCTGAATGCTTCCCCATGTCAGCTCCTGAACAGGGTGCCCAAAGACCTGCTTCCTGAAGACAGTGATGACTACCTCACAGTACGGTCTTTATTTTATTTCCTTCCAAGAGTAACAAATTTGAGTCTAACTTGAGTGGCAGATGAGTTTCTGCTCCTGGAGGTGAAGCCAAGGCAGCAAGAAGGTGGAGTGGCCTCCCTGCGGCCAAACAGCATGAAGCAGGAGGTGGAGAACCCAGCAAAGTCAGGAAACTAAAATAAAACCCTTCCTTCTTGAACAACCTCACCAACCTCTTCTGTAGGTTCCCAGATACATTTAATTTACACTGAAAATAGAAGTAAAATAAAATAAAATGTGATTGTCACAATGTTCAAAGCTCTCTCCAAATATCTCTCTCTCTCTCTCTCCATCCCTTTTTCGAGCACCAAACACCAATGGTAGGAAGCATTGGCCTAAAAATAGTGCTTCTCAAAGACCCAATCTTTTCTGAGTTTCATAGAACATCTGCTCAACAGTTTCCTATAACTGTTTTGGCCACTAAATCAAAGCCGGCAGAAACAATGTTCTGTTTCTGTCTTTCAAGCAAAGAATTGCCACCAGACCTTCCTCTCAGACTCAGACGACAATGGGACAGAAATAGCCACGAAGGCTTTGAAACACCTTAAGGCCTGAGTCCAACTAAAAAGTTACTAGTGTCTTGTTTTTGACTCTTTTTAAAGACACTTTGCAACTCCCAACTACAGAAAAGAAACTTAGATAGGTCAAACCTCTTGGGAGAGGTTACACCCTATGCAAATTACCACCTGCAGTGCGAGGCCCTGTGGTTTTGTGAGGTTCAGGGTTGGCAGGACCCAGGCCAAGACTGCTGAATGTCTTGCCCTGGGCCAGCATGTGGAGCCAAGTGTGGGGGTGGAGTGGTATCTGGTGGAGTGGTGGTTGTTCTTGGTTCTATGTTACGTCTCTGCCACGCCCTTGGCTTCTGTTTGCTTCTGTGGCAGAGACCCTGGGAGTCTGTAGCTACCTGTGCTAGGCTGGGGAAACACACAAGTTCGAAGGTCCCAGTAGATTCTGTCCTGACCATGCATCCAACAGCCATGGCCCCTGGCCAGGAAATCTGTCTAACCTGTTAGCTACAGGCTGCTGTGACAAGAACTGGTGCAAAGTTGGGTACCGATCCCTACCCCCAGGCAAACAGCTGGAGGAGGACCGGGGCCTGGGACCTGGGGTGATGCAAATAGGGACTGTGCTCAGGGTCAGGGCCAGAAGCTGACTGCTCAGCAGTAGGATGGTTGGGCACCAAGTGTGGCTCTGCTGAAGGCCTTTTGGGATGCAGAGTCCAGGCAGCAGTGCTAGAGCAGAGACATCTGTCCAGGTATACTGGACCCTGTTATAAGTTGGCAGCATATGAAACTGGGTCCAGTCCTGCTGGGGCAAAGAAGATGCCAACCTCCGACTTCGATCTGTGCAGTGCGCTTGAATGTTAGCCTAACGAGATGAGGCAGCCTCTCAGTACCAAGGAGGTAGAGATGAAGGTGACAGACGGAGAGAGGATGTGTGACCCTGAGATTCCAAAGCACAGAGTTAAGCACATGTCTGCCAGTCAACAGCACATAGTTGGGCCTTGAGATTTAATATGGTCCTTAAAGTGGCCAGACAGGACAAAGTCACCGCATCCTATGTACCTCTGTCGGAACCGACTGGGAATGGAGGTGGCCCTGGGACCCACGTGTAGCACAGGTGTGCACAAACAGGAATGCAGAAACCAGCAGGGCGAGGCTGATGGGTGACTCTGTGAGCTCAGGCAGTGCTCCTGTCAGCTGTCTGTCGTGGTGTAAGGAGCAGCCCTCACAGACTGACGGACAGGGGTCTCTGTGTTTCATGTCCACCATAATCTTGGTATAATGGAGGGGGGTCCATCTCCCAGGTACACACAGATGATTCCAGGTCCGTAACTGTGAGAGCAGGTCTCTCTGGGCTTGTCCTGAACATAGCCAAACCACGCTCACACCAGGAAAGAGGACCACTCTCTTTTTCTGTTTTTGTTTACTCCCCCTCCTTCACCCCTGCTTCCTCCCTTCCCTTCTTTACCTCCGTTCCTCTCTCTTTCTCTCACTTGTGCTAAGTAGATGCCAGTTTGTACACATAACATGCTGAAAAGAGTGTATGTTTTCAAAAACATGGATTAATATTTTCCCCACTCTAGCTCAGGTGAAGAACTCCCCACAGAGTTGTAAAACCCTCCTGTGACACTGCTGCCAGAGGAGATGGTGCAGATCTGCCTGAAAACACACACTCTTGCTTGAGCAGACTCCTGCACCATTCAAGCAAATGGTATAAAACCAGCTATGCTTTGCCTTGCTGGAGAAATCATTTCTGCATACTTGGCACTTTGTGAAGGAAAGCTTGAGGTCTATTTCTAGACCTACACTCATTTGATAGAATAGCAGCACCCATGAATGGGCTGCTTTAGGGGTTGCCTGTTGCAAGTTAAATGTGTGTGTATGGGACTGATTTGTGTGTGTGTGTGTGTGTGTGTGTGTGTGTGCGTGCATGAACATGTGCCAAGCTGGGATGTCCATGTGCTGCATCTCCTGAGTCCCTGCCCACCTCGGAGTCCTGTTACTCAGCCCTTCCCAGCTCCTGCCCCAGACTCCCAGGCCAGGGCTCCTCCCTGTGTGTGCTGCTGATAGCAAAGCTGTGCTTCCGTCAGTTTTGTGGGTAATAAGTTCTAAAGATAATTTCATTTCCTTTGCCAACATGGGGAGGTGGATGCTCAGGCCCAGTTCCCATCAGGCCAGGAGATGTCAACAGGATTAAGTGACAGTCCAGAGGTGCAGGGATTGTCACAGCATTTACCCCAGGTGTCTGTCTTAGTCTCAGTGGTATTTCCCCTCTCAGAACTACCAAGGGTAAGCACGCTGGTGACTGCTACTCATAGAAAGCCACCGTGGTGCCATCCCCAACTCCCAGGAAATGGCTGAGTCTCTCTAGGCTGCCTGGTGCTGCTCTTGCTGCAGCTGTGGGTGTGGCATCTGGAAGGGCAGTGTGGTTGAGGTTGGCTGGTGTCTGCCCTGGGCTCACCTCCACCTGCTTGTTCCTGTCAGTGGGTTTGGAGGGTCAAAGTCTCTAGCCCTCTCTGGCCCCTCCTCCTCGCCCTTCTCTTCTGGTGGAGACACTTGGTCCATTCCTTGTGGGATGCAAGTGTAGCTGAGACACCTGCCACAGGTAGGAAGGACAGGGAGGATCACTGCACTTTCTTAGCTTTACCCATGGCAGGCTCATCTGTCTGAGCAGTGGGCTCTAGACAGGGGGGATCCCACAGTAGGAGGTGGCTCAGGTGGCTACACATATCACACAATAATGGAATCTGCATTGTGACCAAGGGGCAGGGACTTTGGGCTTTTGATCCTTTGGAAGCAAGGAATGTTTAAGGGATTTCATGGGGCAATGGGGTCTCCAGGGCAGGCATCATGGCAGTAAAAAGGACAAACAGATCTTTCATGGTAGAATTTAATGTGACCAGGCTGAGTCTAGCAGGCAGCCATGGAGAAGGGAGGCAGCTGCCTGCAGAGAATGATGCTAGAGAAAGCACACAGTGCATGTGAACACACTCACACTCAGCACTCAGACCTCAGCACTCAGCTCCAAGCTTAGGTTCAAGTTAGCTCGCTACCTAGCTTGTGTCTATGGGCAAAATTTATCAACTTCTTTCAGCCCCCAAATTCTTTCAACAATAGCAAAAAGCAGATATTTCAATAAAATGCATGTCACAGGACAGCTGTGAGCATTAAATAAGACAAAATACCAAAAGGGTGTCTGTCCCATTTATCCAACCACCCAATATTTACTTAGCATCTCTGCCAGTGTACTGTGCAGGTGCTGAGGAGACCCCGGGGAATGCAGATCCCTGTAGAGGGGGTTGGGGCCGGGACGGGGAGGGCAGACCTGTGAGTCTGTGGGCAAACCCCACCCAAGAGTTGGAAGCAGCAGGAGGGAGGGATGCTGGTCCCTGCTGTACCTGGGGTGGTCCCCAACGGAGTGAGTGACATTCAGGCCACAGCCTGAGGGTGGGAAGAGAAGGCTCCAATGCAGTGCTCATCATTGAGCCCCTGTCACTTGTCACTAGATTCTTCAACACAATTGCTCTGGTGGGACTTGCAGCCTGGTGAGGAAGGAGACACAGAAAACAAAGGGTAAGAAAGAAAATACAATGGAGCCATCAGAGAGGGGAATGAAGATGGGTGAGCTAGGAAGAAAGGCGGGGTCCGGGGCTGCCCTGTCACTGGGTATGGTGGCAGCAGGCTATATAAGGACCGGACACTTGAGAGAAAACTTGAAGAAGGTGAAGGAAGAAGACAAGCGTGACTGTCCACTGTGGCTTTGTCCCGGGAGGAAAAACAAGCATGAGTGGGGAGACTGACCAAGAGGCCACTGCCCAATCCCTGATGGTGGCCTAGGCTGGGAGGGTGGTGACGCGGGGCACCAGGCCAGGTGGAAAGCAGAGCCAACAGGACTTGTGGAAACTTCAAGCAGCAGAAAGAAGTCAAGCCTGGCCCCACACTTCCCCTTCAGGAACTAGGAGAGTGGAAGGAGGGAAGCCTGGAATGTCGCCTGGGTGGCGGAGGCTTGGCACTCCGTGGTGGCCGTGTGAATCCTGAGTGTCCGCTGTGTCCTTTTGCAGTCAGAGGGAGCTAGGATTGGAGGTGCTTCCTGAAGCCATGGAATGGGCAGGGCTCACTTAGGAGGCGTGAAGAGAAAAGAAGAGAGAAAAAAGTGAAGGGGTTGGAAGAAGGGACGGGCGGGTGGGCCTTGGCAGACAACAGAGAAGCAGGCAGAAAGCTGCGCAGGAGAAAAACGTCCGGGACCCTGACAAGAGAACAGCTGATACCATCCCCTGACGTCAGAGCAGAAGCATAAAGCGAGGCCTGGGCACCCCACAGGACCCCCAGAGACTCACCCCCCGAAGAATTTCCTCCTGTTGGTTGCATCCTCCTGGGCCCCAGCCTAAAAATTGCCGCAGTCTCTGCTGGGACCAAGCTTCCAAGGCTGGGTGTCAATTCCCAGAAGCCTCCCATGCGCAATCATAAGGGCACTGGGAAGAGGCCGAAGGGTCTGTCTAAGCTCGGGGAGGGGTCTGCAGTGGGACGATGTTGAAAAGAAAGGTGTGGAAATGAGCACGAGGCAGCCCTCCACCTGCACTCCTCCTGAACAACCTGGAAAGGCGGTTCTGAGCCATCGGCACTGCTCATCCTGGCCTGTTGGGGAGCCCAGGGCAGCAGGGGCCGGACAGGCCTCTGGTTTGCACCGAGGCAGCATTTTGTGTTCTGAGGGGCCAAGAAAGGAAAAATCTTGCAAGGAAACTCCGTCGAGGTCCAGAGCAGCTCCCTTCACCTCAGTGTTTATGGAGAGGAAGGCCAGGGCTGGGCTGCAGAGAAGAAGCCAAAGGCCTGGTCTGCCAGCTGCTGCTGAGTGATCCGACAAGACAGGCGGGGTGGCCAGAGATCTAAGGGTATCCAGATGCTCCGCGCAGCAGGGGCTCAGCTCCTGAGCTTTAGTTATGGGCTTTAATGTGCAGCTCAGCTCCCAGGGAGAAGGCGGGGGCTGCCCCTTCTGACTCCTCAGCACAGACCTAGGCCCCCTAGATGGAGTAGAGCATCACCCTCTGTACCCCCAAATGTGAGTCCCAGGCCTGCTACCACCGGAGGGACCGAGGGGGCGCATACCTGA